TTTTTACCATACTTTCAAAACTTTTTAAAAATTAAAATAGGAAAAATATGCAATATGAAAATAATTGAAGACAAAACGTGTTTTATTGAGAAAAAAACAAAAATTTGGTTTTTAAAAAGCCTTTTTCCAAAAGGTACATCTGGAAAAAGGGGGGTCGTCTTATAATAAGGGGTCGTCTTATATTCGGGCCAATACGGTATATACTTTTTCATTAGAAACTTGCTCAACTTGTATTTAATGCTCTAAAAATTGTAGGTTGGGAAACCTACAATTTTTACAACACATTGTATTACCAGGCATTGTAGTTTCAGCTGTAGTTTCTGTGGTTGTGGTTGTCTCTGGCATTACAGTAGTAGAGGTAGAGTTTATGTTCCTTGCATCTGAAAAAAAGAATATTACATGAAAACAATAATCTCTTACAAAAACAGAGAGCACATGTCAATATATTTACCTGCACAGTATGCCAAATAGCAGATAGTTGGGCTCACAAACTCATAGACATAATACCCTCCTGGACAGGCTTTGACTTTAATGGGATTGGATTGGAAATAGCAGCAGTTATTGTCCCAGTGACCGCAGATATCTCGAGTGACCACTCCATCCTCAACTGTTGGATGTCCTCCGTTCAGCCACAGTGGAGCAATAGTGCCACAACTATACTCATCAACACATGTGTCTGGCATCTGAACGCTTTGACCTTGAATGAAGAGACGGTACCAGCCATTCCAGCTGACCCAAGAGTCACACATTATTTGAGAGGAATGTTGATTGTTGGTGGCTCTCCATAGATCATCCAGGACATTATAGTTGTAGCAGGGGTCAACAGGGGGAGCTGTTGTTAAGAAATATTAGAAAAGTAAATGTTTCGGACTGAATGAATGTTATACATTCTTTTGTACAACATAAGTAGTGGTATGAGATTTCCAGAACAGTCTTCACTTAATTTCTATGGCTGCATTTACACTGCTAGTCTTAATGCACAGATCCGATCTTTTGACCATATCTGATTTTTGGCCCGTTTGTTTACATTCACTTTAGACACGACTGGTATCCGATATCTGTGTTTAAATTAATTCCCGCCCAAAACGACTGTCTATATAGACTCTCAGGTTTTGAATGGCCGTGCTATTAAAATTATTTATATAATTCATGTTGAGTGGCCATTATTATTTGCCAGCATGGACAACAGCTGTCATGGATGCTTTGCAGCACAAAATCTGCCTGAACAGATAAATAATGGAAAATAACAGTAATTTTCATTTATTAGGTTATTTTATCTACAGCTCGTTAGAATTCTTTAGTGAAATAAAGTAGCGCCAAGATGATATTTATTTTAATTAATTTAGTTGTATTTATAAAACTCACGGGGCAGGGCTTGAACACCAGCTCCTTGAATGTAAAATGTTTTACCTATATCAAATTTCTGTATCAATAAAATGTGAGCGCATACAGCACACCGGCATTAAAACACAATCTTTATGGGCAAACATGTTGCTCCCTCGCATTGGGAGTTCTGCAGGGAATCAGATATGTGTGTTTAGACATAGGACGGATGTCCAGATATCAGATATGTATCTGATTTAAAACCACATTTGGGCTGAATTTACACTGCAGATCTGGATTCCCAAATCAGATTTTCTGACTATATCCATTTGTTTGATGACTCGCTTACACATTCTTTTAAAAGTGACCCGTATCCGATATCTGCATTTACACTATACAGGCTTAACTTGACGTGGCTCAATGCATTAGACAGTGATATTAAAAGACCAAACTCTGCACACACTATCAATAAAGCATAATTTGTATTGAAAAGCAGATGAGATTTTACATGAATGAATAGAGAGACAGTCTCCACAACGGTTAGCAACATGCCCATAGCCTGCAATGTGTCACGCTGCTACTACTGTGCTGGAGTGAGGAGACGCGGAGATGTGGGAGCATTTACAAGGAACAGTCTTTATTCATCCACGGGAACACACAGGAAGGAACACACACGTAGCACTGGGGAATAGACAATTAACACTGGACAAAAACCAAGGAACAGAACACTCTTTAAATACCTGACTAGACAAGGGACAAGGGACAAGAAACACCTGAAATCATTGAACACGGTTGAAAACTAGGACATGGAGCACGTGGGGGAGGAAAACAAACACAAAACAGTCCATAGCGTGACACTATGAGGTCACCGAGGTTCGGACCTCTGTATTTTCCCCAGGTGTTTTTTTTTAAATAATTGCCTAATATATTATTATATAGGGTCATATGATGCGATTTAAATTTGTCCTTTCTTTTTGGAGTGTTACAAGCTCTTGGTGCATAAAGAAGATCTGTAAAGTTGCAAAGACTTAAAGTCTCAAATCCAAAGAGATATTTACTCTTATATACTTTATAAAAGTGAAGAGTCAGCCACGCCTACCTATAACGGCTCGTTCTAACACGCCCCCACATATCTACCTCACTATGTGGGAAGATTTGCATAATGCCGCCCAAATGTTCATGCAAAGAAAGTAAACGTTAGACTAAAATGCCGGCAGTTCTGACTCACAGTCTGTAAGCAAGTTTTAATTTAAAGGATTTGCCACTGATGATTCAAACGCGAGTTTTGGGCAGTGTAGAGTAGCACTTGTTGTTTGTCATTTCTCTGATCACAAATGCAGACAGGGTTTTATGTTTACGCGGCGCGATGCAATGCAACGCAACGCGTAAAAAGACAGTATAAGTCATTATAATCAGTAATTATGTCCCCACTGGATGCAACAAAATGCCTTGTTTGTAATGGGTTTTAATGTTTTTGTCTCTTCGCTCCGGCCAGCACATGGCATCACAGTATGGTGAGGGGCATAACATTTCCATCACACGCTTGAGGTATTCGGCCAATCACAACGCACTAGATAGCTGGCCAATCACAGCACACCTCGCTTTTTCAGACCAATGAGCTTTGTAAAAATCGACGCGTTTCAAAAAGGCAGGGCATAGAGGAGAAACAGTACTGTACAGTATGTGGAAAATAATGTGTTTTTTAACTTTAAACCGCATAAACACATTTCATTACACCATATACACCAAATAATGTTCTTTTTAGCAGCATCATATGACCCCTTTAAACATCCTCATTTGAGCTGCCTCAGCCGTCTGTCACTGACCAGTCACCACTCGTCAATGTCAAAAAATATTTGAGATGACCAATCAAATCAAAGTAGCTTTATGTTGACAGAAGCTGCATTTCGCAACTTTCAAAGTGACGCTCCAGTTAGTGGCTATAAATTGCGGGATAAGATGTAAGTAGCCAAACATTTCATATCTGACAGCTGTTTTATGATAGAAATGTTAAACGACTGGCAAAAATAATCAGGAATGCAAACTAATAAACTTATCTAATTTCTCCATTTTGAATTGACATGATTCATGTAATGTGATTCAGAACTGTCAATGTGAGGGGACAAAAAACAATATTAATGAAGCAAATATTAGGCATATGATTCATAATGAATGGGCACATATTGTGAATTCATTAAACTTAATTACGTAGTTTTCCTGGTAGCCTTCAGTAAAGTAACTCAGTAATTTTAAAACCCTTGCTACGGCCCTGGTTAGCAATAGATTGAAGCACTCGTCTGTGCACGAGCCGCCGTCACTCATAACAGCAGCAATGAGCACTCAGCAAAGCAACACATTTCAGCGCCAGATTGCCTCTTATTTAACACAAACAAACAAAATGAATACTCTGCTAGTCAACTAGAGATGTTTCATTTGTAAAAGATATATCTGTACTGCGAGATGCTTCAAAAACATTTGACATCCAACTCAAATTAACAGGGGAATATCCAATCTGTCCACATACACAGCAGGCGCAAATGCACGTATCCGATTCATATCAGATTTATTTCCACATATGAATGAGGCCTTCGAAAGTGACTCAGAACAGATGCGAAAAAATGTTTGTGTTTACACGTGCAACAAATTCCGATCTGTCAGATGTGAGCAAAAAAAGAAGATTTTTTTTTTGTGCCAGTGTAAATGCAGCCTCTGTTGCACTTGTGTTTAAAGTTATTAAAAGTTGAAAACAGTTTGTCTTGAGTTTGAACATCTACTTTTATTTTGCTGAAACAAATGGCTACCATGAGTCCTTTTGCAATTGAATAACTTGACTTTGAGAAGAACTGATTGAAAACGCAATTTGGCTCTTACTTAAAATGATTGGTTTGTGTTTGGTGTCTGCACTTAAACCACTGAATAAATTGTATGTTCTTTGTGCCAAATTATCTTATATGTATTATTATACACTGTAAAATTGTATAAATGAATGAATGCTATCAATTTTCACTCTGACTCTTATCTTTTATCTGTGTGCACACATGCATTTCCTGTCATTTTAAGTCATTTCCTGCCTCTGATGTTTTTGGGTCTGGGATCAGATTGAGGTTATAAAATGAGTCTACAGAGGTCTGAGAAACAGTAATAGTATGGTTATTGCTATTAATAAAAATGCACTTCAGTTACGTTCTTCATTATGATTAGCCATTTGTTACACTGTCTTTTAAATAAATAGTTAGAGAAGCAACAAAATCAGTCAAATAAAGAATGAGTGTTTAGGCACTTGTTGTCCTTTCCTTCTCATTTGTCTTGCATACTGATTTTTACTACTTTAACTATGATTTTGCTACACTCTTTTGTAATGGGACAGAAACACTGAAACATTTTAAGAGACTATGTGTAATGAAAATAAATGAGTAAAACGATATTCTTGAGGTTTTAAAAAAAAGACAATACTTTACCAGTGGTTGTGATTGGTGGAGTAATGGATTCTGTGGGTGGAATTTGCTCTGTTGTTGTAGGGCTTGAGGCTTCTGGTATTAAGAAAAAAATATTTTTTATTTCAGTATCAAACATTTTTAACCATAACCCAAAAAAGTAAATGATTTAATTACATATGAATAAATACCCACCTATACAGTAAGCTCCACAAACCATTGGCTTGACAAACTCGTAAACATAGTAATTTCCGGGACAGGCTTTGACTCTTATAGGGTGGGATGTGTAATCACAGCAGCCACCCGCCGATAAACAGACCTGACGGGTGACAACTCCATCTTCCAGCTGTGGGTGAGGGCCATTGAGTGATAGTGGGTAATAAGTGCCACACATGCCTTGATTGTCTACACGAGGATGAGAGCCACTAAGCCACAGACCACTAAAACCTCCACATGACATAAATGATGCACACCACTCAGGCATCTGAGCACTTGATCCATCAATGAAGAGCCGATACCAGCCATCCCATTCTACACGAGTGTCATCAAGTCCATTTGCATAGCCATTCCAATACCCGTAATTGAGTGTGCTTCTCCGGTGGTTGTCTAGTATGTTGTAGTTATTGCATTCAACAAGGGTGTCATCATGTCCATAGTTTTGGTTTTGTCGTATGTCTCTCCAGTATTCATCAAGAGTGTTATAATCATAGCAGGGATCGGAGCTGGAAGTTGTAGATTCTGAGAGAATAATGACATAAAAAAGGACAATCCAGCGATGATACATACTCACTATTTATGTGGCAAACACCTGTGTCTTTATGACCAGATAAGATATTGGATAGTACACTAGGGAGGGATTATATAAACTGACTGCACTTACAACAACTAATTAAAAAAAGATTTGCCACAAAGATCTCAGTTCATTTTCTAGGAAATGTATCTACAGCTCTGGAAATAAATTAAGAGACAACTCCAAATCTTTCATAAATCAGCATCAGCCATTCCATTCCACTGTCTGTTGAATTCCAACACATGGGCACAACTCATTCTGCTTAATGAAGGTGATCACCTCAACCAAATCTAGTTCTATAACAAAAGATGTAACACTATTTAATGTGATAAACTCTTTACATGTGTCACAAACACATAACATGGGTCTCATTTGCTCATGTAAAATAATAATCCTCCAGATTGTTATAAAACACATTATATTACCAGTCCTTGTGATTTTGGCTGTGGTTGTGGTTTTGGCTGTAGTTTCGGATGTGGTTGTCTCTGACATGACATTCAGACAATAAAAAAAAAGAATATTACACAAAATAGTAATTTCTTAAATAAACAGAGAGCACATGTCAATATATTTACCTGCACAGTATGCCAAATAGCAGGCACTTGGGCTCACAAACTCATAGACATAATACCCTCCTGGACAGGCTTTGACTTTAATGGGATTGGATTGGAAATAGCAGCAGTTATTGCTCCAGTGACCGCAGACATCTCGAGTGACCACTCCATCCTCAACTGTTGGATGTCCTCCGTTCAGCCACAGTGGAGCAATAGTGCCACAACTATACTCATCAACACATGTGTCTGGCATCTGAATGCTTTGACCTTGAATGAAGAGACGGTACCAGCCGTTCCAGCTGACCCAAGAGTCACACATTATTTGAGAGGAATGTTGATTGTTGGTGGCTCTCCATAGATCATCCAGGACATTGTAGTTGTAGCAGGGGTCAACAGGGGGAGCTGTTGTTAAGAAATATTAGAAAAGTAAATGTTTCGGACTGAATGAATGTTATACATTCTTTTGTACAACATAAGTAGTGGTATGAAATCTCCAGAACAGTCTTCACTTAATTTCTATGGCTGCATTTACACTGCTAGTCTTAATGCACAGATCCGATCTTTTGACAATATCTGATTTTTGGCCCGTTTGTTTACATTCACTTTAGACACGACTGGTATCCGATATCTGTGTTTAAATGAATTCCCGCCCAAAATGATTGTCTGCACTTTCGCTTTACTATGCACATGGTAGACTCTCAGGGTTTGAATGGCCGTGCTATTAAAATTATTTATAGTTCACGTTGAGTGGCCATTATTATTTGCCAGCATGGACAACAGCTGTCATGGATGTTTTGCAGCACAAAATCTGCCTGAACAGATAAATAATGGAAAATAACAGTAATTTTCATTTGTTAGGTTATTTTATCTACAGCTCGTTAGAGGTAGAATTCTTTAGTGAAATAAAGTAGCGCCAAGATGATATTTATTTAAATTAATTTAGTTGTATTTATAAAACTCACGGGGCAGGGCTTGAACACCAGCTCCTTGAATGTAAATTTTTTTACCTATATCAAATTTCTGTATCAATAAAATGTGAGCGCATACAGCACACCGGCATTAAAACACAATCTTTATGGGCAAACATGTTGCTCCCTCACATTGGGAGTTCTGCAGGGAATCAGATATGTGTGTTTTGACGTAGGTCGGATGTCCAGATATCAGATATGTATCTGATTTAAAACCACATTTGGGCTGAATTTACACTGCAGATCTGGATTCCCAAATCAGATTTTTTGACTATATCCATTTGTTTGATGACTCGCTTACACATTCTTTTAAAAGTGACCCGTATCCGATATCTGCATTTACACTATACAGGCTTAACTTGACGTGGCTCAATGTTGCTCCCTCGCATTGGGAGTTCTGCAGGGAATCAGATATGTGTGTTTAGACATAGGACGGATGTCCAGATATCAGATATGTATCTGATTTAAAACCACATTTGGGCTGAATTTACACTGCAGATCTGGATTCCCAAATCAGATTTTTTGACTATATCCATTTGTTTGATGACTCGCTTACACATTCTTTTAAAAGTGACCCGTATCCGATATCTGCATTTACACTATACAGGCTTAACTTGACGTGGCTCAATGCATTAGACAGTGATATTAAAAGACCAAACTCTGCACACACTAATAAAGCATACTTTGTATTGAAAAGCAGATGCGATTTCACACGAATGAATAGAGAGACAGTCTCCACAACAGTTAGCAACATGCCCATAGCCTGCAATGCGTCACGCTGCTGCTACTGTGCTGGAGTGAGGAGACGCGGAGACATGGGAGCATTTACAAGGAACAGTCTTTATTCATCCACGGGAACACACAGGAAGGAACACACACGTAGCACTGGGGAATAGACAATTAACACTGGACAAAAACTAAGGAATAGAACACTCTTTAAATACCTGACTAGACAAGGGACTCAACGAGAAACACCTGAAATCATTGAGCACGGTTGAAAACTAGGATATGGAGCACGTGGGGGAGGAAAACAAACACAAAACAGTCCATGGCGTGACACTATGAGGTCACCGAGGTTCGGACCTCGGTATTTTCCCGAGGTGTTTTTATTTTAATAATTGCCTAATATATTATTATATAGGGTCATATGATGCGATTTAAATTTTTCCTTTCTCTTTGGAGTGTTACAAGCTCTTGGTGCATAAAGAAGATCTGTAAAGTTGCAAAGACTAAAGTCTTAAATCCACAGAGATATTTACTCTTATATAAAAATGTTGTATTCAATTTTACAGTAAGCTAAACAGTACTGTAGTTAGTGTTACAGTAATTTTACTGTTGAATGAAATACAGCAACTACTGGATAATTGTTGCCAGTAAGTTACTGTTAATTTGACAATACATTTTTTACAGTGGGGTCATAATCTGTATTAGTGTGATCAAAACAGACCAGTTATATTTCAATGAGCAAATTCACAAGTGCAAATCTGAACTAATCAAACACATTAACAAACATGAAACCGCCTCTGCTCACTCTAGCCCGGCCTCAGCTCATGCTAAGCCGCAGCTTCCGCTCACGCTAGCCCGGCCTCAGCTCACGCTAAGCCACGGCTTCAGCTCATGCTAGCCTGGCCTCAGCTCACGCTAAGAATACACAAAATAATGTTCTTTTTAGTAGCATCATATGACCCCTTTAAGCATCCTCATTTGAGCTGCCTCAGCCGTCTGTCACGGACCAGTCACCACTCGTCAATGTCAAAAAATATTTGAGATGACCAATCAAATCAAAGTAGCTTTATGTTGACAGAAGCTGCATATCGCAACTTTCAAAGTTACGCTCCAGTTAGTGGCTATAAATTGCGGGATAAGATGTAAGTAGCCAAACATTTCATATCTGACAGCTGTTTTATGGCAAAAATAATCAGGAATGCAAACTAATAAACTTATCTAATTTCTCCATTTTGAATTGACATGATCTATGTAATGTGATTCACAACTGTCAATGTGAGGGGACAAAAAACAATATTAATGAAGCAAATATTAGGCATATGATTCATAATGAATGGGCACACATTGTGAATTTATTAAACTTACTTACGTAGTTTTCCTGGTAGCCTTCAGTAAAAACCCTTTAAAACCCTTGCTACGGCCCTGGTTAGCAATAGATTGAAGCACTCGTCTGTGCACGAGCCACCGTCACTCATAACAGCAGCAATGAGCACTCAGCAAAGCAACACATTTCAGTGGCAGATTGCCTCTTATTTAGCACAAACGAACACAATGAATACTCTGCTAGTCAACTAGAGATGTTTCATTTGTAAAAGATATATCTGTACTGCGAGATGTTTCAAAACCATTTGACATCCAACTCACATTAACAGGGGAATATCCAATCTGTCCACATACACAGCAGGCGCAAATACACGTATCCGATTCATATCAGATTTATTTCCACATATGAATGAGGCCTTCGAAAGTGTCTCAGAGCAGATGCAAAAAAAATTGTGTGTTTACACGTGCAACAAATTCCGATCTGTCAGATGTGAGCAAAAAAAGAAGATTTTTTTTTTGTGCCAGTGTAAATGCAGCCTCTGTTGCACTTGTGTTTAAAGTTATTAAAAGTTGAAAACAGTTTGTCTTGAGTTTGAACATCTACTTTTATTTTGCTGAAACAAATGGCTACCATGAGTCCTTTTGCAATTGAATAACTTGACTTTGAGAAGAACTGATTGAAAACGCAATTTGGCTCTTACTTAAAATGATTGGTTTGTGTTTGGTGTCTGCACTTAAACCATTGAATAAATTGTATCTTCTTTGTGCCAAATTATCTTGACCAGTTATATTTCAATGAGCAAATTCACAAGTGCAAATCTGAACTAATCAAACACATTAACAAACATGAAATTTAAATGTCATTGCCAATATACATACATACGTGTGTGTGTGTGTGTCTGTGTGTGTGTGTGTGTGTGTGTGTATTGGCAATGACATTGAAAATCTCATGTTTGTTAATGTGTTTGATCATATACACACACATAGAGAAAGAGGTTAAATGGATTAATTCAAATGTAACTTACTCGAGGTCATGCTGGATCCAGTAATTATATCTGGACTTACAGTGGATATTGGCCATGAAATGGTGCTGACATCTAAAAAAGGAGGACATTCGAAACATGACTGAAGTGATTTTAAATCCTTTGAAAGACTTCATTAAAAAAGAGTGAAGAGAAAAAGCACATTACCTGTGCAGTATCCTGAACACCAGAATTGTGGATTCACAAGTTCATAGACATAGTAATTGCCTGGACACGCTTTCACTCTGATGGGGTTTGTCTTGTAATTACAGCACTCATCCCAAAAATAATTGCCACAGACCTCTCTGATCACCACTCCATCCTCTATCTGAGGGTGAGGACCACTGAGCCACAGATTGATGTATGTGTTACAGCTGTATGAACTAACACAGGTCTCTGGCATCTGGATGTTCATTCCATAGTAGAAAAGCCGGTACCAGCCATTCCAGGAGATATGTTCATCACAAATGTAATCTCCACTTTCATTGTTGGCTCTCCAGGGACGATCCAGAGACTCATAGTTGTAGCAGGGATCACTGCTGATGCTGCTGAAAGCAACTGTCATACAGTTTTTTAAGAGTGCTATTAAAATACTGTATTTACTGTACATCGAATGCAATTTAGAATATTACATTGTAAAACACAATGATTGTTTATTTCATGATTTTCAATCAGCCAATTACAGCAATTTGAGCATTTTTAACCAGTGGTGTGCTGTCAATTATACCTGGATGCAGCCTGCAGAATTGAACAGAACACCATAACTACTCACATTGACACATGTACATGTACTAGCACTGAGTACATGATATAATATCATATAATATATAATAGTGTAAAGGCAGTGCAATTTCATAAAGCCTTCATTATTTTTGCTAAAGTAATGTAAGCTGGTATTTAGACTAACACACAAACCTCTGAATATTTAAACAAACAAAAAAAGTATTGGTTCATTTTTAGCTGGAGGACAGGTAAATTATGAAGAGATACCCATTATGAATGCAGTAATTTATTAATTCTGTATTATCATTTTAATATAAATAACATGGCAAGACAAAGTAGAAATTTAAGTCACTTAAAGTAGAAAGGTGCTGTTATTGGTTCATCTAGAGTTGTGAAATGTAAACTGTGTTATAAATAGCATAATAGCTACAGTTAGTGAAGTGCTATGAGAGTGTGGGGAGAATTACAAAGTAGCCTACAGAATGGTTAATGAAGTGCACACCACTGATTCTAACTGGTTAAACAGTGTCTAATTTAATTGATGTATTATCTAATAATCAGACCATTTACTCTTGATAATGGCATAAAAACAATCACAAAATTTTGGAGAGAAAAATAGTTAAAATTCCACCTGCACAATATGAAGGCCTGTTAATCGACAGATCTGGCTTGACGAGTTTATAGATGTAATAATCTCCTGGACAGGCTTTGACTTGGATGGATGTGGATGTGTAGTTGTCAAACTGGTTAGACCATAGAGAACTTCCCAAAACTTCACGGGCCACCACTCCATCCTCAAGTGTTGGATGAAAACCAGCGAGATACAGTCCAGTTTCACCACCACATCTCATATTACTCACACACCACTCAGACATCTGAGCACTTTCTCCAATCAAATACAGCCGATACCAGCCACTCCATTCAACAAGGGTGTCATCATGTCCATAGTTTTGGTTTTGTCGTATGTCTCTCCAGTATTCATCAAGAGTGTTATAATCATAGCAGGGATCAGAGCTGGAAGTTGTAGATTCTGAGAGAATAATGACATAAAAAAGGACAATCCTGTGATGATACATACTCACTATTTATGTGGCAAACACCTGTGTCTTTATGACCAGATAAGATATTGGATAGTACACTAGGGAGGGATTATATAAACTGACTGCACTTACAACAACTCATTTAAAAAATATTTCCACCAAGATCTCAGTTCATTTTCTAGGAAATGTATCTACAGCTCTGGAAATAAATTAAGAGACAACTCCAAATCTTTTATAAATCAGCATCAGCCATTCCATTCCACTGTCTGTTGAATTCCAACACATGGGCACAACTCATTCTGCTTAATGAAGGTGATTACCTCAACCAAATCTTATTTAGCGAGGAAAAGTAAAAAAAAAAAAAAAACAATGCTGTTGTCATCACTATACTCTAGCAATAGAACCAGCTGGATGGCAAAAAAAGTGCTAGTAGTACGTCAAAAGTAACTGGAATCAAATTTGAACTATTGACCATGCCAAAAGAATTGAAAAGTAAAGTCTGCAGGAAGAAAAGAAGGGTTCAGTTCTGTCTTTACTGGCAGAGGGATACAGTCAGCATCAGGTTGCTTCCATTCTTAATGTCAAAGACAGCGGTTCATAAGAACAAGGTCAAGCTGAAGATATTGGGGACAACAAAGCTACAGTGGGATTTCTGTAACTACAGAGTCGATTTCGCAGAGGGCGAAAATGACTCTCCACTGACTGGGATTACCTTCAGCTCATTTGAATGTTACTCAACAGCCGTAGGACTAAATCAAGTGACCTACAAAAGAAAGGCAAACGGCAGCTGGGGTGAAGTGCACAGCGAGGACGGTTAGAAACAGGCTCCAAGGGGAAAGGGCCCTTCATCAATGAGAAACAAAGAAGAGCCAGGCTGAGGTATACAAAAGTCCATAAGGACTGGACTACAAGCCACAGTGTCTCACACCCACTGTGAAATTCGGTGGAATTGGGCACATTTGTCTTTGTGAAAGGAGCATGAATCAAGCTACGTACAAAATTGTCCTGTAAGAAAACTTGCTTCCTTCTGTTCTGACAATGTTCTCCAACTCTGAGGATTGGTTTTTCCAGCAGGACAATGCTCCATGCCACACAGCCAGGTCAATCAAAGTGTGGATGGAGGACCACCAAATCAAGACTCTGTTATGGCCAGCCCAATCTCCAGACCTGAACCCCACTGAAAAAATCTGGAGTGTGATCAAGAGGAAGATGGTTGGTCACAAGTCATCAATGCCAAGACACATGAAAGCTGTGATCGAATTAATATGAACGTGTTTTGTTTGCATTATTTGAGGTCTGAAAACACTGCATCTTTTTAATTTTGACTAGTTGTCATTACCTGCAAATTAATTCTCTAAACTATATTTGCATCTCCATAACTAAGACCAGTGCGATACACATCTCAATGCATAGCCCGTTTAGAGAGGAGATTTCAATCTACTTATAAAATATTGGTCACAAATTATTGGTCAATTTATTAATAATAAAAATATAGCGCATCTACTAAGAAATAAATTGTTTTTTACCTATGCAAAAATGCATTGCGATACTAATGCAAACTTGTTTGGGGTGAATGGAGATGGTTGCAACGAGGGGCAGTTGCAACATGGCTTATTTCTTCAATCAGGAAAGAGCTACTTGAAGATATTCATACTGCACACATGCTTAGTTAGCCCCTCGTCCTCCCTGGAAGAAATCAGCCACATGTGACCATTCTTTCTACAAACAATAATTTTAATGGTAAAAAAGTAAATATTTTTTAATGATCAGATTTTTTGTCATACTGTCTAAGCTGTTTGCATGAAGCATTGTAAAAACGTATCATTTTAATCTGTGTTTTCTTAGCTTCTAATAGGCATAGCTAGCATGTGTCTGAGATATTGTGTCAAGCTAATATATTAAGTTTTATCACAGCTGAGAGTGTTGGGACAGTTGCAACATGTTGTTGCAACCATCCCAACATGCTGTCCCTTACCACAACACTGATGTAAAAGCTTGTCATAACATTACAAAATTGCAATTTTATGAATTGGTAAAGAATCACTTTCAATAGTCAGGTATCTCACCTTTTTTAAGTGAATAGGTTAAAACATACATAAAATGGTTGATTTGTCCAATTTGAATTTTTAAAAGTAAAACTGATTACCTAGTTAACTGCTAGTTAGTCAAACTAGTTCTTAAAACACAGTCTTAACATAGTGGCTATGTTTTTGCAACTGACCCTAGTTCAGTAAACTTTCACAGAAGTTAATAGAAGTAGGCTATTATTAAATTTCAGTGTCTTGATTTTGATCAAATTCATATTTTGTAGTTCAGATGTATTGTAGTAATTAACCAAAACATGGTTGTTACTTGTTACTTTAAAATGTTTTTTCCATTTACTATTCTGTTTTTATACAGCCAATTTAATTTGAAGACCCTGGCACAAATAAAATAATCGTAAAATGATATTTAAGAAATTATTTTAATGACATTTTAATGAATGTTGCAACCGTCCCCTCTTATGGGGTCAGTTGCAACATTTAACTTTGTCTATTCAAGTATAAATTGTATGTATATTGTCATATGTACACATGTTACAGTAGTGTGGGTGAGTAACTGACAGATGTGGCTTTATTGGGCCCTATCATACACGCGGCGCCAGACGCAACGCAAGTGTTTTTTGCTAGTTTCAGCCCGACGCAGGTGTCATTTTCATATCCTGCACCACATTGTTTAACTAGCAAATGCATTTGCACCCATTTGTGCGCCCATGGGCGTGCTGGTCTGAAAACGAGGTGTGTTCAGCTGCATTGCTAACGCATTGCTATTTTGAGGCAACTGAAATAGACTGCGCCATTGACCAACAAAAACCTGGTCTAAAGTCTGGCGCAATAGTTTTTTTCTTTGTTATTTAAAGAGCATGTTAGTAATATGCGCCTATAGACGGGTGCACAACGTGCGTACACTTTGCTTATTATACACACAGGGATGCGCAGCAGCACACAAAAATGTTTTATAATTAGAAATTAAAGGATTAAAATGTAAAATATTATTATTGTGTACATAAAAATGCCTACATGTCATAATGGATAGTCTTTGCATGTATCAGAATTACGCGCACGAGCAGATCCGTTTCCTCACTAGAGAAGCATTCAGTTTTTCCGCTTGCAAATTCCGCCATGTAAATCGCGAATCCGCCATGGCGCGAGCGCAATTGGCTTTTAAAGGGTCATGAAACCCTGTTTCAGCACTGGTTAGTTCTCACTACAGTTTTAAAAAAATGCTAAAAAAGTGGGCATGGTGCGCAGCGGAGCGGGAAGAGGGGAGAAAGACAACACACACAGCTTCGGGTTCAGAGTTCCATTTCACTCCCATCGAGTTAAAAACACAAATAAATGCACAGCCATTTGCACTCTGCATCAAAAACATATGAACGCGCTGTTGCACCTCTGATACATTTTTTGGCTTATTCTTCTGCTGTTTATATAAGCATTTTGACGGCTTGTGTCACGGAGCTGCAAAAACGGTTACACTCACTAAGTGAATGAATAGCATTTGTGCCTAACTCTTATTACAAAGCAAAAACAAACGCTCTCCTTCCTTCTATCCATGAACGTTTCTCTCAGTTAATGAACGTAGTCTCACAGTCTGAAGCGTCTGTCATAGCAAATCGACACATGCTGTTGTGAATAATTAAGCGAAGGGTTTCTTATAAGATAAGAACACGCAGTCTCATGAATAATTTAATAGACACCGATGCATCATCGATGTACTATTAGTCCATTGCCACGTCACAAATTGTGACATCAACACAATGTAGATTTTAAACCCGTAAGATGAAAAAAGCGCAAAAAAGCGTAAAATTAACCAGTTTTCTCAAACTGTTAAAATTATCGGATGCTAACATTGTCTTCTATAATGTGTCTTGTTATAATGTATAAAAAGTAGTCTGGGGTTTCATGACCCTTTAAAGGGAATGGGAGATGAGACTCTGATTGGTTTATGGCACGTTAAGCCCAAAACACACCCATTACTCATTAAGAGAATAGGGACAACCCTTTTAGACCATGAGCCTGGCACAAAAGCTTAAACTAGCAAAAGTGGATTCGGACGCCCTAAACGCAATTGCTCCGTGCGCTTTAGACCATGCGCTTAGATCATTAAAATAGGGCCCATTGTGTTAAAAGTTTGGTTTTCTAATACAAACAGTCTCTGAGAAACGTTCATTTAACTTAAACAGATATAAATAGTAAAATAAAACAAGAGAAACTGATAATTTTGCAGTGGTCTCTTAAATTTTCCAGAGCTGTATATGAAAATTTGGTGCAGGGCTTTTGGTGCCTTCCTGAGCTTAAAAGCGCTCCACAATTTTCCAGTGTAAATCTTTGCTGGAAAATGTAGCAAACTCCCATTATTTTTACATTACCCACCTAAAACTTGCTCCAAACCACAACGATTTCAGTCTTCTACAGCTAAATGTATTTGTCTGCATCAGTTCTAGTTCATCAGATTGTAAGCACGTCCATTCTTAATTAACAGGGTATGTGTGGAGTAGCGGACCAAATTAGTGAAAGTATACATACTTCGGGTTACATGTGTTAATGAGAGAAGCCTAAAAATGCTTCTGTTCTGTTTATGTTTCTTCTGATATTTGACATGGCTTTCTTTTCCCACCTGAATTATATTCAAAATCAAAAGTTGGAAAATAAATAAATACTACTTTAGGTCAATTATAAGATATTTTTTGTGTGTTTGTGTACTTAAAGCCTGTGTTATTAAACACACACACACACGTTGAGTTTCTATGTTTTATAGGGACATTCCATAGACATAAAGACTGGTATACTGTACAGTACTTTTCTATCTCCTTAGTGTAAGCCTACCCCTCACTCAAAACTTTCCACATTTTTAGATTTTCAAAAAAGAACATTCTGTATGATTTTCCTCATGGGGACCAAACAATAAAAAAAAAAAATTTCCCCACAGGGTCAAAATGATTGCTATTACTTCTCTTGTAGAGACATTTGGTCCCAATAACATAATGAATACCAGGATCTCACACACACACACAGAATGCCTTCTTGTTCTCAAATTAGTAAAAGACTCTTGGACAAATTGAGTACACATGGTGATCTGGAAAGGAACTAGTTCTACAACAAAAGATTAAACACTATTATTGTGATAAACTCTTTACATCTGTCACGAACACATAACATGGGTCTGATTTGCTCATGTAAGATAATAATCCTCCAGAATGTTATAAAACACATTATATTACCAGTCCTTGTGATTTTGGCTGTGGTTGTGGTTTTGGCTGTAGTTTCGGTTGTGGTTGTCTCTGACATGACAAGCAGACAATAAAAAAAAAATATTACACAAAATATTAATTTCTTAAATAAACAGAGAGCACATGTATATATTTACCTGCACAGTATGCTAAACTGCATGTAGTTGGGCTCACAAACTCATAGACATAGTACCCTCCTGGACAGGCTTTGACTTTAATGGGATTGGATTGGAAATAGCAGCAGTTATTGCTCCAGTGACCGCAGACATCTCGAGTGACCACTCCATCCTCAACTGTTGGATGTCCTCCGTTCAGCCACAGTGGAGCAATAGTGCCACAACTATACTCATCAACACATGTGTCTGGCATCTGAACGCTCTGACCCTGAATGAAGAGACGGTACCAGCCGTTCCAGCTGACCCAAGAGTCACACATTATTTGAGAGGAATGTTGATTGTTGGTGGCTCTCCATAGATCATCCAGAACATTGTAGTTGTAGCAGGGGTCAACAGGGGGAGCTGTTGTTAAGAAATATTAAAAAAGTAAATGTTTCGGACTGAATGAATGTTATACTGTGTTTTGTACAACATAAAGTAGCAGTATGAAATCTCCAGAACAGTCTTCTCTTCATTTCTCTGTTACGCTTGTGTTTAAAGTTAGTCAAAGTTGAAAACAGTTTGTCTTGAGTTCGAACATCTACTTTTATTTTGCTGAAACAAATGGCTAACATGAGTCATTTTGCAACTGAATAGCTTGACTTTGAGAAGAACTGTTTGAAAACACATTTTGCCTCTTACTTTTATAATCTTATTCTTACAAATTATTGGTTTGCATTTGGTGGTCTAAATTGTATCTTCTTTGTGCCAAATTATCTTACATCATACACTGTCAAATTGTATAACTAAATGAATGCTATCAATTTTCACTCTGACTCTTATCTTTTATCTGTGTGCACATGCATTTTCTGTCATTTTAAGTAATTTCCTGCCTCTGATGTTTTGCGGTCTGGGATCAGATTGAGATTATAAAAGGAGTCTACAGAGGTCTGAGAAACAGTGATGGTATAGTTTTTACTATTAATAAAAATGCTCTTCAGTTGAGTTCTTCATTATGATTAATTTGATTCATCTGTTACACTGTCTATTAAATAAAGAGTTAGAGAAGCAACAAAATCAGTCTGTTTAGGCTGTCTTTTCCTTTTCATTTGTCTTGCATACTGATTTTTACTACGTTAACTATGATTTTTGCTACACTCTTTTGAAATGGGACAGAAAGACTGAAACATTTTAAGAGACTGTGTAATGAAAATAAATGAGTAAAAATATTCTTGAGGCTTTAAAAGAAAACAAGACAATACTTTACCAGTGGTTGTGATTGGTGGAGTAATGGATTCTATGGGTGGAATTCTCTCTGTTGTTGTAGAAACTAATTGGATGGACTGGCTTGAGGCTTCTGGTATGAAGAAATGTATATATATATATATACAGTATCAAACATTTTTAATCATAACCCAGAAAATTAAATTATTTAATTACATATGAGTAAATACTCACCAACACAGTAAGCACTGCAAACAATTGGTTTGACAAACTCATAAACATAGAAATTTCCAGGACAGGCTTTGACTCTTATAGGGTGGGATGTGTAAGTACAGCAGCCACTCACTGAGAAACAGACGTGACGGATGACCACTCCATCTTCCAGCTGTGGGTGAGGGCCATTGAGTGATAGTGAGTAATAAGTGCCACACATGCCATAATTAACACATGATTCTGGCATTTGGGCATTTTGACCATTGTAGAACAGCCTGTACCAGCCATTCCACTCCACATTATAATCACACATGCCAGAGTAGTAATTGTCATTATAGTAAGAGTTGTCAGTGGCTCTCCAAGGTTCATCCAGACTGGTGTAGCTGTAGCAGGGGTCAACACTTGGAGTGGTTAACAATACTGTTATTAAAAAGTAGAAAGAGAGCATTACATACTGCATATTAAATCTATTCAAGATAATAATATGAATACAAACCAATACAATTTGTGATAAACATGTCAAATAAAAAGATAAATGAACATGCCTGCACAATATACAGGAACTGGGATTGAAAGAGTTGGTCTGGTAAATTTGTAGACATAATACTTTCCAGGACAAGCTTTAACTTGGATTGGTTCAGATCTGTAGCGACTGCACTGATCATAGCCAGAGCCGTAAATTTCACGAATAACAACTCCATCTTCTAGTTGAGGATGAGAGCCGCCAAGCCACAGACCACTATAACCACCACATGACATAAATGATGTACACCACTCAGGCATCTGAGCACTTGATCCATCAATGAAGAGCCGATACCAGCCATCCCATTCTACACGAGTGTCATCAAGTCCATTTGCATCGCCATTCCAATACCCGTAATTGAGTGTGCTTCTCCAGTGGTTGTCGAGTATGTTGTAGTTATTGCACGGGTCATAATCTGTGTTAGTGAAAGAGAGAAAGAGAAGTTACATGAATGAATTCAAATGTAACTTACTCGAGGTAATGCTGAATCCAGTAATTATATTTGGACTTGCGGTGGAAATCGGCCGTGAAATGGTGCTGACATCTGAAAAAAAGGACATTCAAGACATGACTGAAGTGATTTTAAATATTTTGAAAGACTTCATAAAAAAATAGGAGAAAAAGCACATTACCTGTGCAGTATCCTGAACACGAGAATTGTGGTTTCACAAGTTCATAGACATAGTAATTTCCTGGACAGGCTTTCACTCTGAGGGGGTTTATCTTGTAATCACAGCAGTCATCCGAATAATAATTACCACAGACCTCTCTGATCACCACTCCATCCTCTATCTGAGGGTGAGGACCATTGAGCCACAGAGAATAGTGTGTGTTACAGCTGTATGATCTAACACAGGTCTCTGGCATCTGGATGTTCATTCCATTGTAGAAAAACCGGTACCAGCCATTCCAGGAGAAACGTTCATCACAAACGTTATCTCCACTTTCATTGTTGGCTCTCCAGGGATGATCCAGAGACTCATAGTTGTAGCAGGGATCACTGCTGATGCTGCTGAAAGCAACTGTCATGGAGTTCGGAAAAGTTCTGTTAAAATACTGAGACCCGCTTTACATTAATTGTCATCAACTACAGTCTTCTAAAATGTAAATTTGTAATGTGATACAATGCACTTATTGTGCAGATACATGATAAACTGTGCTTATATTTAGAAACACATGCATTTATGTACAGCTGTAAATATTTTATGTAAACACATCTGAGTTCTGTAAGTACACTGTTGACTCATATCTTACAGTTTAACGCACCCTTAAATATAATCATACCACTAAAACTGTCCCAAACCTTGACTATATTCCTCCTAATGAGCAACAAAAGTGTTTTGTAACACAACATGAACCCAATGAGAACACTGTAATAATTCCTAATAAATAATACTCTATAAATAATAAAACTCTTCTGATTCTGATGCAAAAATGAGCTTCTGAACATTTGGGTGTTATTGGGCTTTGTTTTCATAATGGCCAACTAACTGTACAGTAAATTATCCCTGTGTATTGCAGCTGGTTTTACGAGCCCCACACAGACTGAAAAACAAATGTGTGGCACATTCAATCTGAGTAGATTATATTTTAGCAATATATATTTTAACTCTGAATCAGTCAAATATGCAGCCTTAAAATCTAACTTTGAGGTGAAGATATTTTTTGTCCTGTTATCTAAAAACACATTTTCTGTCAAAAACAAAACATACTTTCTGAATCTGCATGCATCATGAAATGTACTGAACACAAAACTGTTTGGGATTTCTGCATTTCATAAATGTCATAAATAAACACATTATGCTTGGTTTTTCTAATAAAATTGTCTCAATACAATAAAAAATTATGAAATTGAAAGTGGGGTCTGATGTGAATAGTGACGTGTAGGACTGCTAAAATATGATCAAGTTTCAAGGTTTCATATCAAGAGACAGGGATCTTTCACTGAATTATTCCTATTACACTTCTTTTATTCTTGCATTTTTAAAGGAAAGCAAAGGCTGGAGAAAGAAGTAAAAAATAAAGCTAAAAATTATTGTACTTAAAGTTTGTCCATTGATTATTTCACTGCTTAAGTACCTATTAACAGTTATTACATAATATGGCCATATATTCGCACATTTGTGATTACCTGTGGCTTCGTGCCGATGGTTGAATCACTTTAATATAGCTATATAATATTATTGCCTATATAGCTTATTTTATTATTATAAATTATTTCACAAACACATGGGCCTGATTTGCTGACTTAAGAGTATTATATAACTCTGCAACCTCTGACTAAAATCAGACTGGCGAGTCTGTGTCCGTGAGATTCCAACCAGCCGGCATGAGACTCTGCGACATTCAGATGAAGGAAGAAACAGATGAAGAGTAAGGGAATACTGCAATATTCAAATATCCAGAAAAAAAGGTACAAAAGCTGTCACTACAGCAGAACCTTTTCAAAAGGTACAAATGTATACCATTTAGGTACTGAAATGTACATTTTAGGTACTAATATGCAGCTTTGAGGTACTTATATTTATTTTAAGGGTAAATGCAAAAATACAAAGGTGTATTTTTTGAAAAGGTACCGGCTGCCCCAGTGACAGCATTTGTACCACTGCACTGATACCATAAAGTGAAAATAAGGAATCCTTCAAATTAGGAACACTTGCTGTATGCTAAATTTTTTAAAATTCCCTTAAAACTGTAATTATAGCTGTCATGTCTACTATCAACTCTCTCTTTTGGGCTTGCTGTCCCTGCTTTGAAAACCAGGTTGTAGCAGAGAGCAGTCAAACAGGGTGGCAAAGTTTAAAGATCATTTCCACACCGTATGTATCAAGTTTCTGTAGACAACAAAAACAGATGCCTTTTGCCTTCAGATTAAACAACTCTTCTTGTGCAGAACAGGAGGGTTAACATTAACATACAGTACACAGGAACTGCTTATTCTCTCAATGTGTGAACGACAGTAAATTCCTTTACACTCACAGGAAAAACAAGTTGAACCTTCACATACTTCACAAACAATTCCATTACACAAAATGGAACAAATTCTCTCCATATCTATTTACAGATCTGTATATGCTTGATTAGCTGTTTGTGACACAATAATGTATACAAACTTATATATTAAGGTATAAAGGATGGCATTAGTGAAAGTTATTTATTTATTTTTTTTAATTTTGTGTCATCACCTTCACAATCAGATGCACAGCTGTATCAGTGCTATGATCTGCACAACATATATTTTATTTGTAAAAGATGAGTTGGAATGTTGTCGCCGATTTTATGAGCACAACACGCACTGAAAAACAAATGTGTGGCATCTGGACAGATTACATTTTTCAGCTGAATCAGTCAATTGTGCAGAACTTGAGGTGACGAAAATATTTATTTAAATACTATTTATCTAAAACACTTTTTTGTCAAAATAAAAATAAGTGTGTTGAAATTTTATTTTCCAGTAATTTTTAAAATACAGCCTATTTTGTCCTGGCAATGTAGATGATAAAATACATAGATACAATTATTATTATGATTATAACTAATGTTAATCACTGATGGTCTGCTGAAGCTGCATGCATCATGAAATGGACTGAACATGAAAGTAGTTTGTGTTGGGGATTTCATTTCATAAATGTCACAAATTCCAAAGACATTTAGCTTGGTTTATCTGATAAAACTTTGTTTCAATAAAAATAAAAAATTTTAAATTAAAAGTGAAAAAAATAAATTGTGTTGGATTGCTAAAATGTGAGAACCTTTCATATTGATATCACAAAATTATTCATATTAAATTTATTTTATTTTTTATATAAAGCTAAGGATGGAAAGATTAGATAAAGTAATATATATATATATTATAATATATATATATATATATATATATATATATATATATGATATACTGTATGTACCTGAAGTTTGTCCATTGATCATTTCACCTGTTAAATACACAGTATAAACATAATGAATTAATATTGAATGTAAACCTACTTACAATATCATTGTAAAGCACCTTGAGGTGACGAAAATATTTATTTAAATACTATTTATCTAAAACACTTTTTTGTCAAAATAAAAATAAGTGTGTTGAAATTTTATTTTCCAGTAATTTTTAAAATACAGCCTATTTTGTCCTGGCAATGTAGATGATAAAATACATAGATACAATTATTATTATGATTATAACTAATGTTAATCACTGATGGTCTGCTGAAGCTGCATGCATCATGAAATGGACTGAACATGAAAGTAGTTTGTGTTGGGGATTTCATTTCATAAATGTCACAAATTCCAAAGACATTTAATGAATTAATATTGAATGTAAACCTACTTACAATATCATTGTAAAGCACGACAAATAAAACTCTCACCATTAATCAGCAGCAGTAGAGACACACACAGTGAGATCAGAAACCTCATTGTGACCAACGGCAACTCCTGCACCTGCACACATATACATACAAATATACATACACACAACCAGTCAAACGTTTTTGAACAGTAATACTTTTGTTTTTTAAAGAATTCTCTTCTGCTCACCAAGCCTGCATTTTTTAATCCAAAATACAGCAAAAGCAGTAATATTGTGAAATATTTTTACTATTTAAAATAACTGCTTTCTATTTGAATATATTTTAAACTGTAATTTATTTCTACGATCAAAGCTGTATTTTCAGCATCATTACTCCAGTCTTCAGTGTCACATGATCTTCAGAAATCAGTATAATATGCTTATCTGCTGCTCAAGAAACATTTACTATTATTATTAATAATATTTAAAACAGCTGAGTGCATTTTTTTCAGGATTCTTTGATGAATAGAAAGATCCAAAGATCAGCATTTATCTGAAATAAAAAGCTTTTGTAACATTATACACTATACTCTTCAAAAGCTTTTCATATATTTTTTTTTGTTTGAATTAATAATTTTATGTAGCAAGGATGCTTTAAATTGCTCAAAAGTGATGATAAAGACGTTTATAAATGATACATTCTGTTCTTCTGAACTTTGTATTCATCAAAGACACCTGATGATATTACTGCTTTTGCTGTTCATCCTAAGACCACTGGAAGCACACAGGTGATCAAGTAATATGGAGTTTATGAGATGTGCAAACTAACAAGATCATAACATTGCAGGTTAATAAGTCAATTAAACGGTATCTAATATTTGGGTACAAAACAAATAAAGGGGGATAAAAAGAGAAAAAGCGACAAATAATGTTAATGGAACTTGATTTACAAAGACAGAATAGAATAAAATTAGGCTAAACAGGCAAATGTTGGTACTTCCCTGAAGCAAGAATGTGTCACACAAAATGCATTCAAAAAATGTTGTGAACGGGCACATGTCCCGTCGGCTGATCATGTTGTTGAAGCAAAAAAGCATCTTAATGAACACTGTATTCACATGCAGATTTAATGAAGGTGCACAATTACATTCTTTAGAAATGTTCTACCTTCATCCGCTGCACATTTTATTTCATCATTCAAAAACCCATGTCAAAAAACCACGTGATGCACATTAATGTGTCCTGACAGTAATATCTCCTCTGGAACTATAATGAAAATATAGAAAGAAAGAAAAACATAAAACAAATTGTAAATATAGAAAGGCTTAAATAAGCAGTCAAATTTGATGTAGATGTGTCAATGTAAAGTAAACTCTAATCTTACTTTCAAGAGTTTTGGGGAACACTTTACAAATAAGTGAAAAATAAACAACAACAAATGCTTTTACAGCATTTATCGATTTAGCTTATTTTTACTTTCGACATTACATTTGAACAAGTTGAATACATTATCAGTAAATATATTAAATACTGTAACAAAAAGTTAATGTGTTAATACATTAGGTATAATGAATTAACATTCATAAAATTTTACTTTATATGTGTGAGTGTGCAGCAATAATATCATTGAGAAGTACTGAATGTGACTTTTCAAATTGGATAGCCAGATTTACTGTCATTTTTATACATTATAGGACTTTCAGAAAACCACCAAACTGGATTCCAGACATGGAGCTGCAAATGCTGCTAGGTTTGTTAATTAAGTTGTCAAAGTGCATATATCAATCACTTAAAGTGTTTTTTTTTTTAGTAATTGCAGCAACCAGATGATCGAGATTAAAAAAATACCTACTTACACTGACTGTCACCAAAAAGTAATGCATTTCAATATTGTGTTACTCCCTAAAAAGCAACAAATTAGGTTAGTTACTTTTTATGGAAACTAATGTGTTACGTTACTTTTGCGTTACATTTTCTCATCTGGGCTGGGCTTGCTTGTTTGTTTTTAATATAAAAAGGTTCTAATTTTAAAATGAAAAATGTGCAATCTATTTAGATTTATTCCAGCTGTTTCTTAATTATTTTCTCTTCTAATTAAATTAAAATATTTTTATTCCTGTCTAATCACTTTTAGTTTGTGTCACTTTCCATCCGGTTTGATCCAGTTACACAAAATCATCTGACAAAATCAACAGCTTATTCATGGACCAGATCATGTTTCTATTTCTGAAAGTCTCATAATCCTCCACATTTGCCTACAGAATGCTTGAGTGCTATATGACAGGCTCTTTCACCATATGAATTATTCCTACTACATTTTTTTTTATTTCTACATATTTAATGGAAAGAATGGAAAAAGGAAAATGTAAATTTTACAATAACTACCTCTGCTTTGTCCATTTGTCACTTGTTAAATACACAATATAAACATTTGATTTAATATTATGAAATTATTTAGTTATTTTACGTGACAGATGATAAAACACTCACCATTAATCAGCAGCAGTAGTGACACACAAGACCAGAAACCTCACTGTGACGGAAAAGCCCCTCTTGCACCTACACACATATACAACATGAAACAATTACATTTTGTTAGTTTTTATTTTTGTGTTTATTGTGTAGACTAGTAAAAAACACCATAAATGTAAATGTTCACAAAGCAAAACTCAGGGAGATTCTCTCTTCAGCAGCTGAATACAGTGATGATGATCTGCAGCTCTCATGATTTTATCTTGCCTTTACTGGAACTGCCGGAAGTAATTTCGCAACAATTTTCATGTGACATACCTGTATTGGTTATTTAATTTTTTTTTTCTTGTATACACTAGCACACAAATAGAAATTAATGGAATGAAGACGAGTCAGTTTATTTGTTTAGCACGTTTTCCAGAGATTTACAAAAATAATACCTTTAAACACCAAGTGAGTGAGCCAAAAAAAAGAAGAAAAAAAGAACCAACTCTATAAAGAGTTTGTTAACAGTTAAAGCATTTAGTATCATAAACAAGCAACAATATTGAAATATTCCTTAACATAAGTTACTATTAATTCCAGTATATACTAATATGCATTTGAAATTAACAATCTATGAACAAATGTGAATTAAAAATAAATAGTATACTTTTAATTAACATTAACCTAGATTAATAAATTATGTAAAATTTATTATTGACGTGTGTGAGTGTGCAGCAATGACAAATGACAGCTAGTTTTTATTATATTGAATATGTTTTAACCTTCCTCATAAACAACCATATAAAGAAAACACTAATAAAACACCTCTGTATTCTGAACTAGAGCGTTACACGTCTTCACTTCGTGAGAAGTAGTGTTCAAACTCGATAGTCAGGTTTTACCATTCCTACAGGTTTTTCAAAATTGCAGAGCAACAGTGAAAAAAAAAGATAAATATGTTTTTCAGAGAACCATTAGATCATATTTCAGACAAAGATGTTGCAAAGCAGCTTTAAAAAGTGCAGTTGTCAATCATCATTACAATAATGTTTGGAACTAGTTGATCCCCAAGTCCTATATGGCCATCACTGCACTTACTAACATAACAGTGTTAGTCATTTCATTCTCTGTTATCATGCAACAGTCACGTTTGTTGATTGCCTTTTATGCACATTATCACAAGTGGCAAAAATAATCAAATTAAAATCATGCATTTGCAGGTACAAAGAGTGTTAAACTACTCATATGAACATATGCAAATATCTCTCTCACATTTAATGCACTCATCAGTTTCAATTTCTCTTTAAAAAAATTTATTACAATCTAAACCTAGTAATACAAGAACAATTTTGGTTATTTATGAAATGGATGAAATTAACCCCCATCTTATAAGAAATAACACTTCAACTTACTGTATTTTTTATTCAAGAAATACCCTAGCTTTTTTTCATTCTCTAACTGAAATGTCTAAAGCCAAACATGTATTCTTGGGAAAATTGTTTTAATTGGACACAATTTGAAATGTGTTCCTGTGCATGACTCTGTCTTGTGTCACTTTAAAACATTACATCCTGTTTGATCAGCCACATAGCATCTATGAAATAAGCAAACATTTGGAAACCAGCAACCAGTTCACTACAACCCACAACCATTAAAATATGCATGTAAAATGCTACACATTTTTGTGGAAAAATCCTAAAAGAGGGTCAGGACACTCATCAGAGGAGCAAGTATCAACATCAGAGAACCACACAGAGAAGAAGCCTCGGATGCCTTCACTTGCTCTGGGACCCACTTTTCTGTGAACAGGGAATATAATGAAATGCAGTGAATTGTAATGTATTCATGACAGAAACCTTAATTTACAAATTATTAAAATAAATGAAATGTTCACCTGTGTTCCCTTCAGACAACATCAGAGGACCCATGGATATGGAAGCACTGTCATGGAAGTCCAGAGACCTGCGCTCTCTCCGCTGGTGTCCAGAGTTACAGTCCTAAAAACAAAAAGGGAAAATCCAGCTGTGAAAATCCCCGTTCAATATTGCTGATATTTAATCACATTTCTGAGTACATTTTTTGGAACCGTTATTTGTGAAAGTCTTGGCTTTCACATTTAGTAGCATCACATTTGCTGTACATTCACTATATTCACAAAACAATGTTTATGTTGGTAACAATGCCATTCTCTGAATCAGTTACTGCTTTGGTCTGTTTGCCTATAAATAGTTATACTAGTTTCCACCATTGTACCTCAAATGACATGAACAGCAATCACGGTGTAATGTCAACATTGCCAAACTTTTGCAAGCTACTTCTAGTAAGACATACTGTTCAGATATCTTTCTTTCATAAGTACGTTGTTCGTTACTGATACAGTGATCATCTGTAACCATCAGATTCATCTGTGCAGTATAGTGGAGCCAAAGCACAACTCGTATAATTACCAAAATAATGTGTAGATTTACACTTCAAACGCTAGAGGGCCAAAAGTACATAGTGTAGCTTTAACCATCATTTGTATATATTTAATTATACATAGTGAGGTCGGCAAATGGGGGAGGACTGTGGGAGCTGCAGTAAAGAAAGAAGTCGATTGATTAATAACAGCGGTTTCCACTTTCAGTGATGACAAGCGAGTGTTTAAAAAGCTCCAGAGCTGATGGGGAAGAGGAAGCTAGACTGACTGAGATGATGCTTATATATGGATTTTTTTTTTGGAGATGATATTGAAATAGCTGCCTAACTGTGAATCCTTCTTTTCTGATTGAACCTTAATTTTGATACAATCAACTACTTTTAGGGAGTTTTGTAAACTCACAGTTGAGCAGCGATTGCTTGACAGAAGGCACAGGTGAACAGCGCAGTGCAGGTAAAGCTTAGAGGAGTTTGCAGTGAAGATAAACATCCTGAAGGAGAAACGGCTGGATGTCGAGACGCCGTTCTGCAGCAGCTCCACTGTGTCGTCATTTGCATTGGGACACCTGAGAATATTAACAATGACCATCAACAAATCAAATTGTTTAAATTGAAAGACATTCAACTCAAAAGTGATTTCCTGTAAATCATCACACATTTGCATTCTATGTACAATAAATGGAACCTTGTACTTTAGTCCTGAAATATTGATAAATACTAAATCCAAATAAACACAAATCCTAAATTTGTCAATTATTATTTATTAAATCTATCAAAAGTTTAAATGTTTTTTTTATGTTAGTTACAGTTAAGAATGAGCTTTAAAAAAGAAAGAATGTATTGTATAAAGTGCTATAGAAGCAACAGTGAAGACCATAGCATATATACAGTATGTTCTTAGAATAAATATTTACTCAATTTTCTACTATGCATTATTTTTCCTGCTTAAAAGGTTCCCACCTCTCCAGTGGGTTGATTTCCACATTCATGGAAAGTGTTTGTGTTTGAGGATAAACACAGCTGAAAGAAAGCTTAAGGATTTTCTCTCTGCTGATGAGACCTTCTGACCTCGGTGTCCCCAGAATAAAGTTACTATAGATGAAGTGGGTGCCGTTGGCCTGTGGACCACAGAAATATTATTGTCAATCATTTTATTTCACTCATTATGTTCACATATTTTCAAATAGCTTTGTATTGATAAAATGTCAGTATAGCATACAAAAATTAACAGTATCTACTCTTCTTTCTCTGTTAACTGTAATGAGAGATCTTAATTTATTTAGTCTTTTTGACAGCTTTGTTAAATATACAGGTTGTTTTTCTGCATTTTTTTGTACAGTATCTGCCCCCCTAGTCAGATCAATCTCAATGCATTATGAAGTTTTCATACCTTTGTGGCAAAAGAGAATGCCACAACCATTTCATGTTGTTTTTTTCTTGTTAAAAATGCCTTTATACTGCATAAACAGGCAAGTTTCTTTCTTTGTACGATAGCTTTGCTTAAATCATGAGACCCCATTAATAATGATTGTAAAGCGCTTTGGGTGTACAGCAATACACAATAAAGCGTTATGTAAATGCCTCATTCATTCATTCATTCAAATCATTGATTTGACTAAACTCTCTTGTGAGTGAACATTTTATTAAAAGCAGTCAAAAGATCTTTAGATGATAGAAATGTGCTTTATTCTTTTAGGATTTTCCCCCCAAACATTCAGTACAAAGGTTGAGATGATATGCATTTCGTTAGCATGTATAATATATCCTACCAGAAGATTTGTGCCACAGATGTGTTCATCGTTATCAAAATGGAATTCCACTCTGCCATTCCGGACCGTTCCTTTGCAGCTGGGATCATTGAGGTGTAAGACATCAGCTGGAAAACCAGCCTCAAAGAGCTGACAGCGAGACACAGACATGGAGCCAGAGCTGCTTTCACAGGTTTCTGAGAAATCTGAGAGAATAAAATCATCCAAAAGATTATTAATGATAATAATAATAACTAAATAAACTGCAGAAAGAAAAAAACTATATTTTTGTTGTTATAGAATTAGTTTCACCAAAAGAATCTGGTCTGGTCTGGTTCTCGTTACACAAACAGCCATAGACTCCGTTTTTCTCTCCACACCATTCATCCTCTGTGCAGCTGAGTTCAGCACAGGGCTCTGAAGGAGAGAACCAAAGAATGAATGAAATGATACAACAAGGGCATAAACTAAAATCATGTTCTGAATTTATGTACAAATAACATTAGTAAACATATACATTAAAAAATATTGCTCATAGATTCACAGAACAATGTCAATTCATGTGCCACACACCCACAAATGTCTAATGGGATTCTTACTCATCTTTATTAAATTAAATAAAAAGTGATTAATTTGCTCCACCTACACTCTTAAAAATAAAGGTGCTTCAAAAGGTTCTTCACAGCGATGCCATAGAAGAACCATTTTTGGTTCCACAGAGAACCATTCAGTCAAAGGTTCTTTAAAGAACCATCTCTTTCTTACCTTTTTGTAATCTGAAGAACCTTCTTTCGCCACAAAGGACCTTTTGTGAAACAGAAAGGTTCTTCAGATGTTAAAGGTTCTTTATGGAACCATTTAGACAAAAAGGTTCTTCTATGGCATCGTGAAGCACCTTTATTTTTAAGAGTGTAATGTAACAGTGTAACTAACTGGGGGAAAGTAAATTTAATGATAATACATGTCAAACGGTATACTGGTACTTTACCAGTGGTTGATGTCTCATTAAGGCCTCTGACATCTGATGTGAGAAAGATTTATTTTAATGTCACTCATTTCCAAAAAAAATAGCCCAAAGTAAATAAAAAGTGTATGTGGTTAGATGTATCTACCTGCACAGTAAGCTCCACATAGCATAGGCTTGACAAACTCATAAACATAGTAATTTCCGGGACAGGCTTTGACTCTTATAGGGTGGGATGTGTAAGTACAGCAGCCACCCACTGAGAAACAGACCTGATGGATGACCACTCCATCTTCCAGCTGTGGGTGAGGGCCATTGAGTGATAGTGGGTAATAAGTGCCACACATGCCATAATTAACACATGATTCTGGCATCCGAGTATTTTGACCATTGTAGAACAGCCTGTACCAGCCATTCCACTCCACATTATTTTCACACATGCCAATGTTAGAATAGTCTATGGCTCTCCAAGTCTCAGACAGACTGGTGTAGTTGTAGCAGGGATCAACACTTGTGGTGGAGAAAGATACTATCATGAAAAAGAGAGCATTACTTTATATACTGCAGATTAAATGAATTTAAAGTCATATGAAAACCTCACTACAACTTAAGATAGCATATTAAAAACAATGAATGAATGAACAACATACCTGCACAATATACAGGAGCTGGGATTGAAAGAGTTGGTCTGGTAAATTTGTAGACATAATTATTTCCAGGACAAGCTTTGACTTGGATTGGTTCAGATCTGTAGCGACTGCACTTATAAAAGTGAGAGCCGTAAATTTCACGAGTAACAACTCCATCTTCTACACGAGGATGTGAGCCACCAAGATACAGACCACTATAACCGCCACATGACATAAATGATGCACACCACTCAGGCATCTGAGCACTTGATCCATCAATGAAGAGTCGATACCAGCCATCCCATTCTACACGAGTGTCATCAAGTCCCTCTGCATAGCCATACATATACCTGTAATTGCGTGTGCTTCTCTGGTGGTTGTCTAGTATGTTGTAGTTATTGCACGGGTCATAATCTGTGTTAGTGTGATCAAAACAGACCAGTTATATTTCAAACTAGATAGAAAAAAGTTTGTCAAGACAAACTTTAGGTTGGCTTGAGAAAGTCTAGCCTGAAAGTTTGAAGTTGTAAAAGCTTAAAGTTTGAAAAATTACATAGATTAGATAGATGTTGATAGCATGTTGTTAGCATTATGTAGCACATTGATTACATGATTTAACAAGTTGCATGGTTCTAGCATGATTAACATATTGCTAGCATGGTTTAGCAAGATTTAATAATACATTGCTAGCAAGTTTTAGCACATTGATAGCATGATTAACATGTTGATAGCTTGAATTAGTAGGGGAGCGCGGGGCACAAAGTAACGCGGGGTAAGTTGTAATACGTGGTTTAAATATTTCCACACATGCTAGCATAACCAAATTTACAGCATTTACTAGTTACCATATCAACATTATATAGAGAAAAAAGTGCGCCAAAATTCAAAAGTCTTTTGAAGATATCGCTGGACATTTATTTTACCATAGTACAATTATATTTCTGGCTTAAGTTAATTTTTCATCTCAGTTTCTATTATTCATTTAAAATTAGACAAATCTGCTATTATTTTATTCTCCAATCTGTTATTTATCAGTTTAAATTATCTATCAGAAGACAGTAACCGGTTTTAATTCCAGTTGCGCAGATGGGGCACATTGTAACACTGCGTTACAATGTGCCCTGCCGTGCTATTCTATGACATTTTAATGATAAACGACGAGAAACAGGTGAATAAAGACTGACAGCCAATGTTTAATGTTAAGAAATTATTATTTCAAGATATGTAAATCATTTTTGCTCATTTATGTGGGCCGTCCCAAGCATGGTTGCAATGTGTTCATTGTCAAACTCCAAAATCAGATTATTTTTAATTCTTAAAAAACGCCATTATTTTATTTGAAATAAATAATTATTTTATTTTATTGACAAAATATTTTAGTTTGTCTTGTATATTTTTTTTCATTCGATCAGATAACATTTTAAGCTGTTATATGGTCATGTTACAACGTGCCCCTCAGATGTTACAATGTACCCCACCTACGGGGCATGTTGTCACATTTCACATCCAATTGTTGAGGGTAAATAAAGAAAAACGTATACACTATAATTATGAAATAAAGTGACATATTTGTACTAGACAAGTGTAAAATTACTGTGGATAAAAAAAATATATACTCTGAACCCCATGTGGATTTACACAATTTGAGAAAGTCAAAAAGTGTTACTTTGTGCCCCGCTCTCCCCTACACTGATGTCTTAGGCTAGTTGCTAGGCTTAGATAGATAGATAGATAGATAGATAGATAGATAGATAGATAGATAGATAGATAGATAGATAGATAGATAGATAGATAGATAGATCTGTTTTATGAAATCAGTCTGAAAAGATATAGCACAGGCTTTCTCAAGTCAACCTAATGAGAAACTTCATGACTTCAAATGAGAAACTTCAAACTGGTCAAACACAGTAACAATCATGAGCTTCTTAAACTATTCATACACAACATAACTGGGTCATGTTGATGCAAGTTCATGCATAAAACAAGCTATTTTAAACTGTAATTTCTTTTTAGCTACAAGGATTGTGATTACCTTTAATAACCCTCATATATTAATTACTTTTAAAACTTACTCAATGTGATGCTGGATACAGTGATATTGTATGGACTTCCAGAGGAAACTACCTGTGAAATGGTGTTGATGTCTTATATATATATATATATAAAAACATGGAAAGGATATTAAGTTATGACTGAAATCATTTCAAAAATTTTGAAAGATTTTGTTAAAAAGTGGAAAAAGCACATTACCTGTGCAGTATCCTGAACACTGGATTTGTGGATTCACAAGTTCATAGACATAGTAATTTCCTGAACACGCTTTCACTCTGATGGGTTTTATCTTGTAATAACAGCAGTCACCCCAATAATAACCACAGACCTCTCTGATCACCACTCCATCCTCTATCTGAGGGTGAGGACCACTGAGCCACAGAGAATATTCTGTGTTACAGCTACTAACACAGGTCTCTGGCATCTGGATGTTCATTCCATAGTAGAAAAGCCGGTACCAGCCATTCCAGGAGAATCGTTCATCACAAACGTTAACGCCACTTTCATTGTTGGCTCTCCAGGGACGATCCAGAGACTCATAGTTGTAGCAGGGATCACTGCTGATGCTGCTGAAAGCAACTGTGATGGACAAAATAAATATACTGTATTTCAGTAAAATGCATTTACATATTAAATAAATATTGGTGGCATGTTGTGATGTGCCTTCAAACAGCTTTGGTGTAATTGGATAACAAAATGTATAATGTCATTATATACCAAAGTTACATTTTAAACTCTTTTCTCAAAATTAACTGTCACAAGGGTCATGCTTAGGTTGTATTACCCAAAGACTGAAACATTCTTTCATAGCATTCATTGCTCCGTTTGTTTGAGGAGCCCAGCATGAAAACTTAGGAGACTAGTTTTTAATAGTCTGTTTAAAAGGGACGTGATTATTTTTTCTGATCTAGAAGGGCTGAAAGGGTTGAAAGGGTGTTTGGGGAAAGCTGTTCGAAACCTGTAAATATTGTACTGATTCTATTTGAAATAGAAATTACACATTTTGTTAAATTAAGTGGAGCATTTGAAAGTAATACTAAATGTAAGCATGTAATTTACAAAAACATATTTTGTAAACAGATCCTAGAACTGCACCTGCACAGTACATTGGTGCGGGGATCGACAGATTTGGCTTGACGAGTTTATAGACGTAATAATCTGCTGGACAGGCTTTGACTTGGATGGAGGTTGATTTGTGTTCGCCACACTGGTTAGAACTTAAATGACTTCCCAAAACTTCACGGGTCACCACTCCATCCTCAAGTGTTGGATGAGAGCCACTGAGATACAGTCCAGTGTAACCACCACATCCCTTATGACTCACACACCACTCAGACATCTGAGCACTTTCTCCATTCAAATACAGCCGATCCCAGCCACTCCATTCAACAAGGGTGTCATCCTGTCCAGAGTACTGATACATGTTTTGTCGTATGTCTCTCCAGTATTCATCAATAGTGTTATAATTATGGCAGGGATCAGAGCTGGAAGTTGTAGGTTCTGTGAGAACAAAGACAATCACAAGAGCAAATATATTCTCTCTATAGAACATGTCTAATCACATCAACTTTCAAAAAGGCATAATGCAGTAACTAATGAGGTGTGCAAGCTGTATTGGGGAATGTTGCTTTTAAAAGTAATGTGTTACAATATTAAGTTACATGTTAAGTAACAAATTACATTATATTACTACTTCTGGAAAGTAACTCTTCAACTGACTCTACTCCAGAGTTAAACATAATACAGGAAACATAAATGCGGTAAACATTCCACCCGAATGCTAAGTGCAAATAGCAATAGATGCGATTAAAGCCTACAGCGATAGATTCTATTTACACCATGTAAAAATAGGAGAATTTTATTTGCAATAATAGTAATTACGTGCTATTTATACTACTTAGTGCAAATAGTGCCAGATATCTGCACCTCGCTATTGTAGTATATTATAAAACAGTATGCAATAATAACGTACTGAGTGTAAATAATAATTTTTATTAAAATTATTAAATGGATGCCAATTTGGGACAATAAAACCCTCCCTACACCCTCCCTCCCTAGGTTATTTGTCTTATGGTTTGTAATTTGCTTTTGAATTAAAAAAATAATAATAATAATTCTCATATCATTGTCATATTGCCCACCCGTCCCATATTCCACCATGAGAAAGGGATGGCAGCCTAATTAAATACATGTCTGTGTCATTAATGTTAATCAAACAACAAACAATGTTAAATAAATGTATATATGTTAAATAAACCTACTGTATTTGAAAAACGAGTGTATTTAATTTGTATCTCTATCGTATTATTTGTCTTACGGTTTGTGATTTGCGTGTATTTGTAATTTGCTTTAAAAAAAATAAAAATAAAAAACATTTTATGAAGTAACTTTGACGTCATGAATATCGATTATTTTCTTAGCACCCCCTTAGCCCCAGTAGAGAAAAAATTCTGTCGCCATGCCTGACTAAAACACAGCCTTAAAACTGTTATTTAATGGGTGTCTTTTACAATGTTGTCTAACCCTACCACACGGTGGTGGGCTGAGTAAGTGAAAATAGCCTCTGCCAACAAGACGGGCTATTTGCACTTAGTGTAAATAATAGACACTCCGGAATCTCGGATTGGCTGAGAGGAGTGCGATATTCAAATGATATTGGAACTCCAACCGTTTCACCGTTTGTATCACTCCACTTGCAGTATTTCTCACAGCGAGTGTCATGGCGGACGCCCAAATCCACTATAATTTTATAAATAATTCTGTTTTTGTGTCACGGAATGTAGTTTTTAGGTGAGAATGTACTTGTTTAGACTTTAAATATGTGGTTTGCTAATAAAGATAACAAAATCTAACAAAAAGATCTAACAAAAATTTGCTTCAAGGTTTTCGGAGCTCCAGGGCGTCAGCAGCCATTCGGCTCTCATGAACCCCCCGAGAGCAGCCTCACCTCGGCCAGATCTTCTGGAATTTGTCGCTTACTCTGATGTCTCTATAGTGATTAAACATGAGATATAATTCATTTTGGGTAAATATCACGGTCTTTGGTCTCATTAATCTATTATTTGTTCCAAAGCAAACAATTTTGGCTGAGGGCAAAATCTCATCACGTTATCCACTTTATTTTGCAATGTGGAAGTAAGCCGCTTTCTTTGAATGTGCGAGACTTCCGGTTCATTAACCGCTGTAGGGAAATAATGAGAATAACGAGAGAAAGTGCAGTAAACAGTAAAACTGTTTGCACTACAAACCCGTGTGTTTATAATTAAGACGGTTTTGCACAGCTAAAAATAGCTGGTAGCGAAATGACACCGGAAGCCAGACACATTCAATTTTCAAATAGCCCGCTCTTACAGGAAAAATATCAGAGCGCTGCCTTTATACTTTTGACTGAATTGCGTAGCAACTTTTTTGATGACTGTGTGTGTGTGTGTGTGTGTGTGTGTGTGTGTGTGTTCGACATTGTTCCGCCATTAGATGGCAACAAGGGACTGTTTTACACGTCAGCGGTAAATACTTTTATATGTAAACAAGTGATTTTTACTTTTAATAACCACTTGTAAAATGCAGTTAACAAATGCAGTGAGCAGCACTGTCATCGGAAATCACCCTTAACAGATGAATGGATAGTACGGCAAAGATATCGCTTTCTTCAGCGGACATTCAAACTAATGTTTTATTGTGAATATGAGATTGAGCTGAAGAATGAATGCTGTATCAGATGCAGGTAATCACAATCGCTCAGTCCATCTCTCTCTCAAAATACTCGACTTTACATAATACAGTGAGTTTTTAATACATTCATACAATAAGATTTCAATGAAGCAACTCACCGTTCCTTCGTTACTAGTTCTAAAGTGACATTCTCGAATTAGTAACGGAGGCTTGAGCTCAGCTGTTTACTGTCAAACTGAGATTTGAATCCGTGGCGGAAGGAATTAGTTCTGTACATAAATGCAGTTTCACACTCGTAGCCGTGCGAAATGGCTGTAAATCAGCACACTGTGATTACCTACGAATTGGGCCTGTTTTATGCTTTACCTTATTTATTTGTTTTATTTTAGACATCTTTTAATTATGGTGATGAAAAAGATTTGCCACGCTGGTGGAAACAACACGAGACCATGCTACCACGACTGTCAAGACCGGCTCGGATGGTGTTTAGTGTCCCCAGCAACAGCAGCAAGCATGCCTTCAGTGCAGCTGGAAGAGTTATAGAAAAAGGAGGACTGGCTTTAAAGTAGGGCTACCCCTGACCAGAGATGAATTACTTAAATTCTAAACCATGAGCCTTTAAAGGATTAGTTCGCTTTCAAATTAAAAATTCCTGATATTTTACTCACCCCCATGTCATCCAAGATGTTTATGTCTTTCTTTCTTCAGTCGAAAAGAAATTAAGGTTTTTGATGAAAACATTCCAGGATTATTCTCTTTATTGTGGACTTCAACGGCTACCAAACAGTTGAAGGTCAAAATTACAGTTTCAGTGCAGCTTCAAAGGGCTCTGCACGATACCAGACAAGGAATAAGGGTCTTATCTAACGAAACGGTTGGTCATTTTCTAAAAAAAAAAAAATGATATGCTTTATAAACAAAAATGCTCTGCTATGCGTGTCCATGACCACGTAATACGTAATTACGTTGAAAAGGTCACGCTTGACATAGGTGGAAGTTAGGTTTCAAAAGATTTAAACATCCAGGATACGCACACGAAGTGACCATTTTAAACGATAAACAAGACATTTGAATATGTGTCATTGAACATACAACAACTTTTGAACGGTCCTCCTTCTCCACATTTGTAAACACTGACTGAGTCGGTACTTCCGCCTACGTCAAGCGTGTCAACGTAATTACCTATTACGTAAAGTCATGGACGCGAATTACAGAGCAGTGCAAGGTGCGCATTTTTGTTTATAAAGCATATACTTTTTTTTTTTAGAAAATGACCGTTCGTTTCGCTAGATAAGACCCTTATTCCTCGTCTGGTATCGTGCAGAGCCCTTTGAAGCTGCACTGAAACTGTAATTTTGAGCTTCAACCGTTTGGTTGCCGTTGAAGTCCATTTTAAGGAGAATAATCTTGGAATGTTTTCATCAAAAACCTTAATTTCTTTTCGACTGAAGAAAGAAAGACGTAAACATCTTGGATGACATGGGGGTGAGAAAATTATCAGAAAATTTTAATTTTAAAGTGAACTAATCCTTTAATATTTAGGCTTGCGGCTATTCCACGTTCAAGCAAAGCCCCGGCAAAAGTTGGCTACTTACCATGAATGTGTCTGGGGGAAATGGTAAGGAGATATTTGAATTATTTATTAATAAAGTAGTGTTTTCTGAGTCAGTGTCGCAAAGATGAAGTTGACGATCCTGACTCGCCATCTCCTCACTGGAAGCAACGTTAAAGAGAATTGCATCTTTACGGATTACATCATAATAGTTTTTATTTTCGATTTGAATTATTTCAATATTATAGTTTTAAAGTATTAATTTAAAGCTTTCTATTGATATATTTATCATGTCTGTGAGGCAAGGATTCACTGAGTTTCGGTTAATTTTTGTGAAACGATCCTGTTCAAGACCAAGACGGCAGAAAAATGCAACCTATTAGTTTTCTTTATTTTACAAAAGCACAACGTTTTGTGGATGTTTGTGGATCTTTACAGTTCCAAATGATGTATTACTCTTATCTTTATGAGGAAAAATGACGGCGTTAAGTTGTTTCTGTTATTAAGAAAAAAATGCAAGTGATCGCGCCGGCGCCTCCATGTCCTACAAAGCACGCTTTAGCTTCCACTCTCCGCACAAACGCTTGGATTTTTAGGTTAAACGTTTAAACTAACAGTGTGATATGCGTGAAGTGTTTTATATCTATACATTTTATTTTAGGCAAGTCATGTTGATTTGAGAAGGCAAAATTGATCAAACGTGATCAACTTATTTGTCTGCCGCTGGCCGCTTGGTCGTTACTTTAAAAAAACAAAAACTTGAATTTAACAAACAAGAAATGTTCCAAACATATTTCTCAATTAACTTAATAAAGAAACGAAAAGAAATATAACCACTTTGCCATAAAAAAAACACAACTATTTTAATGGCTGCAACAGCAGCTGTTCAATGGGGAAGCGAGAGAGAGCAAAAAAGACACAGGCTCCAGTCGGACTCTGGCCGAGAATTCTGATAAGCTGTCGGACAATTTATATATTTTCTTTCAATTTCTTATGAAGTGTCAAAAGAAAAAACAATTATCTGGAAGAAGGGGGCCCAAATCTCTGTCTTGCACATCTCCATTAAAACTCTTCATGGCGCCCCTGATGAGACATATTTGGTCAGTTATACATTTAATTATGTGTAAAACACTCACCATTAACCAGCAGCAGTGACACACACACACATATTAGAAACCTCATTGTGACAAACTGATCTGTAAAAACATTATTAACAAGATGCAAGCAAAAGGTGTAACAAATCATAACTCTGATTTCAATCCATCAAAAGCAGACTAAAATAGCAATTATAGCTCAAAATGTGATGAAATGAAGAGAAATAACTTTACCTGAGGTCAAATGCTGCTGCAGACCTCTTCAGCAGCTGAATACAGTAATGATGAACTGCACAGTCTCACACACTTGTCAGTGCCTTTATTAATAACGGTGGGTGGATCATTACTGGAAACAGGAGTAATCTCTAAACAATACCTTGAAGAAAAGCTTCATTTCTTTTTATTTTGTGAGAGATTGTATCGATGCTTGCCATTTAATGGTTTCACTTCATTGTGCAGCTCTGTTGTGTACTGCCTGCTCTGATATTACAGTGAAAACAATAGTTAATGTGTGTTGACCTAAAATCAGATCATGTTCCTATTATCAGGAAGGATCAGCAAGATTCCCAGCAACAATATATGCAAGCAATAAGGTTCGAGAGGTTGGGCTATATTGTGAATAAGTCATGGCTGAAGGGCGTTGTTAGGCACGTTTTAAAATTAATAATATATTTAATAATATACAGTTTTATAACCGTTTAATAAAAATATATAATATTGTAAGAATCCACCCGCCAGCCCAAAAAGCGGAATCCAGCGGCCTGGTTGAAGGTTTAATGTGTATTCGGTCTTTTAATTGCGCTTCTGAATTTATCAGGATTTCATTAAATTTTTAGTCTAGCTCCGTGTTCAGTCTGACTCCAATTTCACGTGATCAGTTTTTAATTAGAAATATTGCTTAGAAATATTGCCTAAATTTAATGATCACATATATTAATTTAGATATTTGATTATTCCGGACTCAATACTTTCAATTATCCATTCACTGGGGACCTAATGTTTCTTTTAAGTCTCACGTTGGTCTTACGTGGGTCTTACGATCACAAATTCGCCAGTCTGATGTTAGTCAGAGGGTGTAGGTAGACTAATACCTGTTTTGCCTGCCGCCTACTGCTTGCTTATGACAAAAAGTGTAATTCACTTAGTCCTTTCCCATAACTAGTCATAATTATTTCAAGAAAAGTTCAGAATAAATCAAATATAACAATTTATTATTTGTCAGGTAAACTTGTATCATGCCAATTACATAATCAATTCAAAGATATCAAATCAATACAAGACATCAAATTCTCAAAGATAAATCTAAGAGCAAAGAATGCATACCTGACTTCAGGAAAATACATATTACAGAGTGTGTGGACACATTCCATACTATGGGCTTTCTGGCTACAGAATCGCAATGACTGATTTGCAACTTTCCCTTAAATACTACCAGAACAGAAACAAAGAAATCTTTAAATCAGTTGTAAAAACATAAAAGACCTTTTGTTTGTTAGTTTCTGTGATCCAGGGTCACACCCGGCTGGAAACATTCTCACAGACCCCTAAAGGGGGACACACACCCTCCTCAACACAACACAATTCTACAAAAGTTTTAAATCTTTCTCACAATATAAATTACTACTTTGAAATTGAAACCAATTTACCAATCGCACAAAAATAACAGGTTCACAAGATACACGATATGTGGGATATGCATATTCTTAATGAACTTTGAGTGAAACCTTTTGGAGGAAAAGAAGGAGAGGCAGAGAGGGCAGGGGGAGAAGGGGGTCGTAAATGAGCAAGAAGAGAGGTGTTGCTTGCTCTCTTTGAAGATTTCTTCTCCAGATAAGTTTTATTGTTTTATTGCATGGCGTCTGTTTTGTGTGAGTTCCTGAGTATTGGCTTCATGAAGAGTTAATTTCATAAGGAAATAATTTCACTCCTTTCAATATAATCATGAAATGCCCATGAGAAGGGTGCGACACTGGACATTTTCAAAATAAAGTTGTGACCAGATGTGAGAAAATAGTTTGAGAAGATGCATATTAACTGCAAAACACTTTTAAGAATGAAGGCAAAGAATTAAGCTGAAACTACCAGGAAGCCATTAGTCTTCAGTTCCACCATTTTCAAGAACTGCAACCTACCTGAAGTCTCCAGGAGGAAAAGATATCAAGTTCAGAGACACAGAGGGGGAAGAACTGCCTAATAATTATGCACATGTGAATACAAGGCATTTTCAGCCCTGATCAACAATTGCATATCATCTATAAATTATATACAGTCATAAAATCAACATCAGAGTATCAGCTTGCCTTTTATCTTATATCGCACTGTGTGTGTGTGAGTGTGTGTGTGTGTGTGTGTGTTTTTGTGACACATGAAGACATAAATGTGTATAATGACAAGGGTATGACATAGGTATTACAAGGAGAAGGTGACTTTTCAGGACATTACCCCATGTCCGCACTTTTCAAAACGCTTATAAATCACACAGAATGGAGTGTATTGAAAATCTGAAATAGCACAAAGTTTCCTGTGAGGGGTAGGTTTAGGGGTAGGGTTGGTGTAGGACAATAGCACATACAGTTTGTACAGTATAAAAGCCATTACGCCTATGGGATGTCCCCACTTTTCACAAAAACAAACCTGTGTGTGTGTGTGTGTGTGTGTGTGTGTGTGTGTAAAAAATTAATTGGTGTATCATATTACAATGACCTTGCTCAACAACATATGGCAACTGAATATAATACTACACCATAATATAGTCTTTATCAGTAGTTTGGCCGCTTAGGGACCACTAGTAGAATAATCACTACGTGTTTAAAACAATTACTTATTAAATTATGTAACATGAAACAAACATACTTGAAAACGTTATCTCACAAACGGATTCCATTCAGTAAGTCACAGAAAATATTTCAAGTGATTTTTGATGCAGCCTGATGCTACTTTCAGGATAGAGGACATACTGACATATGTTCAGCTTCTCTCTTAAAGTCAGTGCTTCTAAACATGCATTTCCAAGTACTTTAGTAAGATGCAGAAATATTCAGAGATTGTCAAAGGACTGCTTGGACATGATCTTATCAAAATAGTCTGACACTAAATGACTTACCCAGCCTTTCAATATCAGTTTCTCTTCACCTTCTTAAATTAAATTAAAACTAGAAAAAACGAGGATATTATATGAGGAATGACTGAACCTCACACATCTTACCTTATAAGAAAGACGTATTCAAACATTGCAGCAACATTCTGCAAATCCATTAGAAATGAAAATAGAATGATATTTCTCATTCCATTACAGTACCAACTTTAAGGAAAATATGCCAAACAATTCCATTAAATTGCCAATATGTCTCTTTCTTGCATTACTAAAAACAATAATTGATAACAAAAGGAAGACTATGAAGCTAGCTTGTTTACTCATCCAAATTCTTGCTGCATTATCTCCACATCATATGCTTAGATATACTGGATAATATTCCAGCTGTTTCTTTATAATGTTTTTAATTCTCTAATTAAATATTAAATCTAAATATGTTTTCTTGTAAATACTATTTTAATTGAAAATGAATGTAATTGTCTTTTTCCCCCTGTCTAAAACTAACCTCAGCTTTGCATCACTTTTTCATTCTGTTTGATCCAAGTACACAAATGTGTTTGATATCATTAATTAAAAAGATGGTTTAAATATTTGTTATTAAAGCACAACATCTAAAGTAAAATAAGATTAATGTAGTATATAGCAATTCACATAAATTATTAATTTGCTGAATCATTTATTTTTGGTGCTTGTAAATAAACAAACAAAGGCCACACAAAATTCTATTAAATATTTAGAAACCCACAACCAGTGTGGCCACATTCATTAACATAGTACAGGACAATATGCATGTAAAACGCTACACGTTTCTTGTGGAAAAATACTAAAAGATGGTCAGGACACTCATCAGAGGAACAAGTAACAGCATCAGAGAACCACACAGAGAAGAAGCCTCAGATACCTTCACTTGCTCTGGGACCCACTTATCTGTGAACAGGGAATATAATGCAATGAAATGTAACATATTCACAGCAGAAATCAACAGAAACCTTCATTTACAAATGATTAAAATAAGTAATATTCACCTGTGTTCCCTTCAGACAACATCAGAGGACCCATGGATATGGAAGCACTGTCATGGAAGTCCAGAGACCTGCGCTCTCTCCGCTGGTGCTCAGAGTTACAGTCCTAAAAGAGATGTGTAATAAATGTCACTGAAATATAATCACAGTTCACAGAACAATAGTCCACAAAGTGTCCAGCAGAGGGCAACCACAACAAGTATTTTACCAAACTTACATACTGACATTGAAGCATTTGTTTCAAGTTCTAACAATAAACCACCCTATGCAAATGTTTTGTTTGAAAGCAACCAAAGTTTTAATAATAAGCAAACACATCATAAATCCATCTTGTAACCATGCATTTGCTTTATCCTTCACTTTGCCAAGCTTAAAATAATTTATATTGTAGAGCTGTCAATGTGTGTTTTGCAGAAAATTATATGCACTGGGAAAAAAGAAGGATACATTTCTCTCCAAAATTGCCTGTAAGTTGTAAAAGTAAAGGCTACACACAATCCTTGGTGGCTTTCATTAGAAAGCTTACGCTGTATAAAGTAAATTATACACTTTGTAAAAGTTTAAGTAGCCTAATGCTTCTAAAAAAACTATCATTTTAATGCTACTATCTTAAATATTGCATAACATTACTACAACTCAATGGGTTCAATAAAAATATCTGAACATAACCCAATTACATTGACTTTTTTTACATAAGAAATGTATTTAATGTCTGAATTTTAAATGTATTAATTCATTAAAAGATAAAACAAAATCTGTTCTGCAAAAGAACAGATGAAACGTAAGATAAAGTAACATTGCCAATACACATACAGTACGGGAAAGTTATTTAGCATTGTATAGGTTGTACAGCGAGTATAAACTCAATTTATCTTAAAAAACGATGAGTCCTCAGTCTTTAAATAAAAACCGGTCTCGAGCTCTTCCCACCAAAACAATGCAGAAACGGTGTGAATTAATAGTTCCTTATGAGCCATTTCAGCACATTTAACAAAGTTAACCAATAAGCATAATTATCTCAACCAAAGTTCACACAGTTCTAGCACTCATATTGACATTAAATGTCTGCAGTCTGCCTATACTATAATAATATGTTTAAGAAATATACTTACAAGCGTTTTCGCTAGTTCGCAGTTCGCTAAAAACTGCGATCTGGGACGAATGCATTAGTTTATAAGCTTAGCACGCAAACGGTGAGCTATATTAATAGTTTAACTCGGCTACATGATAACTTGGTTATTCATATGCATAATAAAAATAAGCCAACAACGTTAACAAACGTGCACATGGACATTATAATTAACTCGATAATAAGAATCCAGTGTAACCTGCAACAAGACACTACAAACGTTCCTAAATGGCTTAACAGTTGAATATTGCCCCACTGTAGTTTAATCGATATTCCTTAAGTTAAAGGTGACCTATTATGCAAAAATCACTTTTATAAGGTGTTTGAACAGTTGTGTAGCTGCAGTGTGTGAAAACACTAAGGGTAAAAATCCACACACTCGTTTTTTTATAATCCCAATAAATCACAGACTCTCCAAATGAGCGATTCCAGATTTCTCCCTATAATGACATTATACTAGGGAAAGTCCCGCTCATTTGTGACGCTCTCTGCCCTATAAGCATAGACCCCACCCTGAGAGAGAAGCAGCAGTCCGCCATTGCTGTTTTCATGCTGTAGCTGCTGGAGATACACTGTCAGCACCAAAGAGGTGTTGTGTTTCGGGATGCACCAACGAACACAGGAGTCTCCATAGATCGCTGAGCACACGGTGGTTAAATTTCATTTACGAAGGAAATGTCCCGGGAAAAAACTGAAAAGTCCTATACGTTTGTGCTAATCATTTTATGCCGGACTGCCTCACAAACGAGGGTCAGTTCAGCTGGAGTTGTGCAAATATTGTTTCTGAAAGAGGGATCGATACCAACGCTTCGTGCGCGAACGTCAGCTCCAGACAAAGTAAGCATCAAGCGTCAAATTTTGTTTTCCAAAAGAGCTTCTTGGCTCTCTGTAAAGCTACCATTGTCTGTTTTCACTGATGCTGCCTTCACGTGCTACCAGAATGATTGTAAATAGGAATGTGGTAGTTAAAAATTGCATATGAAAGCAATGTGAAGTCGACCGCTTGAATTTGTCAAGCTCATAATGTGATAGCACGCGGAGGCACCATAAGACCAGCTATGTCGTTATTTTTATCACGCCGTGCTCCCCGTCTGTATAATTCATAAACACGCATTTACTGCACAGTACAATCAGATTGCATAATATTGTCCTGTTTTGCCGGAGCATGAGCTCTTGAAGCTCCGCCCTCTTCTGAAAAGAGAGGCGGGAGCACCAGCTCATTTGTATTTAAAGGGACAAACACAAAAACGGCACGTTTTTGCTCATACCCTAAAAGTGGCAATTTCAACAAGCTATAAATATTATCTGTGGGGTAATAAAACTAAAGGGGGACAAAAATACATAGTGTAGTTTTAACATCATTTATACATATTTAAATTGATCTACATTTAATTACAACTACATTTAAGATCAATTATTCAAAAATGTAATTACCACGAAATGTTTGTAAACTCACCATTGAGCAGCGATTGCTTGACAGAAGGCACAGGTG